ATATCTGCAAAGTATGGTTGTTTCAGGATCACAGGAAAAGACTTAGTGAAGCAATGGTAGTGAAGGGTTTCGAAGGCATGTTTTATATGTTTACATGACTTTGTTATGTCAAAGTTAAACTTTAAGCACCACCAACTACCAATTAGCGAGTGACCCTGAACGCACCAATCATATCAAGGAGGCATTTTTATGTATGGAATATATATATTTATGAAAAAAAAACGCATAAAAACTGTATCAAAGTGTTACTCAGGTTATCTTTCTCTCACATGTGATAAAAGCCTCCCAGTTTGGCATAGCAGTATCAATGGAAAAGTTACACCACAACCTATACATAAATTCAGCTAAACGACTATAAATGACGTCGCTTTGTGATCCATTAATGCCTCTAATCCTGATTTTTAACCTTTCCAAAAGGCTTTCGATAGAACTGATGTGGGTCCCTGTAATGGGATCCACAAAATCATCAGAATGGTTGACTATGTGGTGAATATATCTAAGAGATGACAAAGAGATATAACTTTTCCAATTTTCTCTGTGTATTACAGATGCTTGTATCACTAGTTGAGAAATAATAGGTATTAAAGTACTTGACTTTCTATCTGCTGTCCTCTCGACAAATCCTTTCTGTAGAGAGATATCACATAAACCAATCACCCGAAAATTATTCGCTCCTTATAGACCACGTTTGTATTTTTTCTTCAATAAGACAGTTTCACCTACATGTACGATGACACCTCCTCCAAATAAGGAAGTAAACCTCTCCATTTTCCAGGATGCGATATCCCTGCAGTGCTGTAAGTGCTGATACGACACTGTTTTTAGTTTCAGTAGCTGCACCTCTATCAGGCTGTTTTATAACCCAGTAATTACAAATGCATAAAAATGTGGGTTAAGGGAAGATCGAATTTGGCAAACTATGTTCTTAGGAAATATTAAAATCATCAGCTTACCTTCCCTGACACCAACTCGTCTCAAACAAATTGCACAACGATGCACATGTCCATCAAAAAATCCGCAGAAGCTTTTTATGGTCATCACACTTCCATTTGAGCAACCCCACATCTAAGCAATCCGCAAAGACTTTATCGTCACCAAACTGCAAATTCAACTGAGTCAAAGCAGGCATTTGACTCAAATCTAGCAGAATAGAAGCTTCAACTCACACGAATAAAATTCATTGGACCATTCAAGGTTAATAGTGCGGTCGCACTCCATTGGTAGTTAGTAGCGCCTAGAGTTTAACTTGGACAAAAACTTGGTACATTATGTGCACCAAGAGATGAGTCACACGAGGTCTCATAGTTTGTTAGTGGGCCGAAATACTGCCTGGACCCCCAAATTGGAGCAAGTGATTATCTCAAGAGGTTGCCCTCCCTAGCGTTTAACTTGATGTCTGATCCATAAAACAACAAAGAAACATCAGGTGCTGCCTTGCCATGTTTGCCGGTGATTAAAACAAATGTTGTGAGAGCTGTCTGCTAGCCAAAATTGGTAGACAGCAATTTATGTCAATGTTCACGTCCCATATCTTGGTCATGAGAAAAAAGAAGAACAAAGATTAACTCAACAACCAATCACAGCAAACTTTGCGTGGGCGGATACAATTCGCAGATATATGGTCTGACCGTCAAAGAAATAGCCACAAAAAGATGATAGATTAACTTTCAGTGAGAAAACAACCAATCAGAAGACGCTGTTTCTCTGCTAACAATAACGCTAATAATACTGTAAGTAAAAATCTATAAATATCTGTTCATTTTCTCAATAAACGGTATGTTACCTGACCCTTGTCTTCTGTTGTTGCACAAGTTCATACGCCGTTTGATCCGTTCAGATTCTGAAGCCGACCTACACCATAGGTTTGGAATCAGGGTTTTTCAGCTCCCCTGTGGGGACCACCATGTCTACCAGTCTGGTTGTAAGAATCAAACATCAACATTCGCCCTTCTACTTTTGTAAGAGACCTACATGGTAGAGACCATGAAAGCTTGGCCACGTGAGAGCATTTCGAGAGGAACACTTAACTCTACCCACTGTCTACTGTACCTGGTCGTCTTATGGATCTTCTAACATGCAGTCAGATCAGAGTAGTGAAACCAGAGATTAAAAAGCGCTAGATGTCTCAATTACTCCTTGTTATCGTGTGAAAAGTATGCTGAAACCCACATTTTTATGTAATTTGCATCAACTGTATTGTTTAGGTTGTAATCAGATGAGACAAAAACAGAGAAATAATAAGGAATCAAGTCACACATTTATTTGCAAGTATTGGTTTATAGAGATTTGATTGATTGGTTACAAGATTTCATCATCAGAGAGAACCATTGGTAAACCACCTGGGAGTATCGGACAGCTATCTACGAGTTCACCTTGTAACCAGAAGATCCTGGGTTCGAATCCCACAGTGTAGGTGCCTACTGCTGGAGAATTCCAAACTAGAAAGATTGAGCGAAGAAATATTTACTTTTCAATTAGATCCTCATCTCTGGCTCTACTGTAATATATATAAAGTATTTTTATAACAATACACAACAGTTTACCAATCAAGTGGCGATAAGTTTGTTAACAATAATTAGTCAGTGTCAAAATGTCAATGGGTTGATAATTAACGAAGAAAATCAATACACATTTAAAAGGTAGAGATGGTTAGAATAAATTAATTTTACAAGGAGACATTTAAAATTATTTATCGCATTCCGAATAATTTTAACTTTGCTCTACGAGTTCGTCTTCTACAGACAGCTGAGGCAATCGGAATCCACCTGAAGAAGCCAAGCCTGTGTGTTCAGAAGAAATTTGTGCAGCCACTTTCCTTACCGTGGCTATCGTTACAAGAATGCATAAACAGGACTATGTCGCCCCTTCCCCTAAACCTATAAAAATTATAATTGTCCAAATTATTTTATTTTTATTTATTTTGACCACTTCATCTTTAATAACGTGTTATCCTTGTAAAATTAATTTATTCTAACCATTTCTACCTTTTAAATGTGTATTGATTTTCTTCGTTAATTATCAACCCATTGACATTTTGACACTGACTAATTATTGTTAACAAACATATCAGTGCCACTTGATTGGTAAACTGTTGTGTATTGTAATAAAAATGCTATACGTGTATATTAGAGTAGAGCCAGAGTGAGATGAGGATCTAATTGAAAAGTAAATATTTCTTCGCTCAATCTTTCTGTTTTCCAAATGTCTAAATGGGGATTTTTTCTATGTTGAATTCCAAACTAGGCGGACGAAACAGCTGTCCAATGGTTCTCTAACCAATGTCAATTCATGATGAAATCCTGTAACCAATCACACACATATATATATTGTTCTTACTTCTTTTCAATGTAAACCCTCTATAATTTAATCACCACAACTGACATGCGAAAATAGCAGGCACCAGTGATTCAACGGTGGCACTTTCACCTGTTACACAGCTGCTCCATGTTCGATTTCCAAAAGACACATTCCGCCTTGGTGAGTCTATGGCTCAGGGATAGAAAACTCACCAATTACACAAATGGTCCCAGTTCAATCCCCCCAGCTGACTCACTCAATTCTAAACTTCGCCTAGTCAAATAGTAATCCCAGAAAAGAGATAGGTTAACATGTGAGGCTTGCAATCCCACTGTGTAAATACAACACAGACACAAGTGAAACTTCAAGCTTTAAAATCCATTTGGAATGAAAAATAAGAAGAAATGAGAACAAAGTGGATTTATTACAGCCTTTTTTAAAACAGTATTAACAATAACAGTGGTGATAGTAATAATAATAATAATAGTAACAATAATAATTCAATAACAAGACATCTCTTTCTGCGCCTCTGTTTCTCTCTTTCTCTATGTATATAAACAGGGCATTAAATGCAAAGCAAAAGGAAAGAACGTATATATGTATATATTTGATTCCCTTCTTATGATTATCAATTCTTATCAAGTGTTTCTTGATTTCTAATAACACACAGTTTCATTTGAAAAAACAAACAAACAAAACAACAAAACAACAATACAAACAAAAGATAATCAAAACAAAAAGACAGGAAAAAATGAAAAGGACGACGTCAACAAGTAGAATGCTGAAATGCTGACTAAAGGATAAAGGAAACAATTGAACAAGATACACATAGACGCATAACCAGATCAATTGTAGTGTTATCATATCACCATTAGACTAGATTGAATGAGTGAATGAAACAAAACGTAGTTGGAAAGGAAATTCAATAATAATATAAAAAAAGAAAAATACACAGCCATTCCAGCCACTTACATTGAGAAGAAAGGTTAAAAAGTAAATGGAACGCAAAGGAGAGATGAGAAATATAAAAGATGGTTGAATAGTTGTCGTCGTCGTAGTCAATACAACTACTAATGATAAGATATGATCAGTTTAGTTTATTGGGATTATTTTTGGTAAATTTTAACGGGATACTTTTTTCGCACAATAGTCGTCATGGTTAGTGAGTTAATTGGTTAGTTAGTTAGCTAAATATCACAAATGCATAGTTCAGTAGAGGTGGGAGAAAAAAAATCGTTAACCAATCAATCACATTTCACCACCATCATCATCATGACACTAAATGCATAAATGTCAACGAAAGAGACAGAAAGACAACCTTGAATGGATGTCGTATAGACAAGGTGAAATATCAGAGCTGTATGAATATCAAACACATAGACACACAAAAGCTGAAGCGATTTTTATTCATCTCTTCTCCTCTATACTCACATTACCAAATAAATAATTGCCAAAAAAAAATAAAATAACACGCGTACACGAGTATATAACATAACATAGGATAAGACTTATGGAATGAAATAAATCAAACATAATAAATAATATATATGACAACAATGCACTTCTTTGAAGAGATTAATATTTTTTTTCTCTCTCTCTAAAAAACAACCTCATTTCATTTGATTTTACTTTCATTACTTGTTCGAGTGTTGGAAAAAGTCAATACATACATCTATCTGTTGACGTTGTTTTTTGGTGTTTTTTTCAAAAGAGCGAATTTCGCGCCGTATCCATTGACGACACACACTTAACAAATTTAAACAATGTTGTTTGACATGATTCAATGCTAAGTAGGTTTCTTGACACAAATAGAATCTTTCAAAATCATAATTGTACACAGAAAAAATATATATAAATGCTGTTTAACAACATTTATATGTATATGTATATAGATATAGATATAGTACAGGAAATGAGTATGTATATAAATGTTGTTGGACTGGCGGTTTTTGAGGAAAATGAATTAGAAAACTCGGCACCAGGTTTATTTTCTTCTTATCTAAAGTTGATCAATTCATACTGACACATCTAAGTGTATAAATCACTATGGATTGATGCCTAGAAAAAGTTTGTAAAACATAAATAATCGAATGAAGTTTTAGAAATAACTAGCATATAACATAAAATAAGTAGAAATCCTTCAAAGTCTACATAAAATTTTTAAAAAAAATTAATAAATTTAAAGTTACTCATTTATTGATGGCCAGCTGTAGGATACAAGACAGGCATTTCGTCCTATTCAGGACTCATCAACTGGATGTACTTGCTTCCCAGTGAGACTCGAGCTTAGTATGCATCGCTTAGGACATCAGAGTGTCTTCAAGTTAGAGTGGGAACAGCATCACCCATTGAAGATTCCAGGTACATCTAGGTGATGAATTCTACTCACTAGATTACATCTCTTTTTCCTTACTTAACTCTGCATATATCAAAATTTAAATTTTCCAATCTTATGTATATATAATTTGAAGTTACTCATCATCCAAATGTCTTGCTTCACAACGACTATCTTACGACAGTCCTTGCTGGAGGACTGATTCATCATGATAAAGTAAATTCATGTTAAAAATGTACCACTGTGGTGAGAGCTGTCTGCAAGCCGAAATTGTAAACAACAATTCACGTCGATTAGCATTTAATTGGTGGATGGTGACTAGCAGTGGAATCCAAGATGCGCATTCCGTCCTATTTCTGACTCGTCATCTGGATGTACCTGCATTTCTCAGTAAGTGATGATGTTCCCACCGAGCACTTCGGTCCAATCAATCGACGGGATAATCTAAAAATTCAATTAAATTCAGGTCAATGTTCACGTCCCGAATCGGGGTCATGAGAACGAAGCAAGAACAAAGCTTAACCTTGAGGAACTCAACAACCAATCACAGAAGACTTAATGTGTGAAAATGAGATTCGCAGATATATGGCTTAACTTTGTAAGAGACGGTCACAAGCAGTGCAGAATAACCTTCAACAAGAAAACAACCAATCAGAAGACGCTGCTTCCCTGCTAACAATAGCGAATAATAATGTACATAAAAATCTATAAATATCTGTTGATATTCTCAATAAACGATCTGTTGCCTGGCCCTTGTCTTCTGTCGTTACACTATAACTTGCTTTATTTAGCCCTAAAGGTTGTACACAAATGATGAGAATCCATGAAATAAAATGGGTCTCTGTTGTTCTGCACCGTGGTTAGTTCTGTCTCTGTACAAAACACACACCAACAATTGAATAAAACAGACAACTTATTTACTTACTTAATTGTACATATATATTACATAAAGAAGTTCTTCTGTTTTATTTTTACTTTATGCAACTGTTTGATGATTATTTCTTGTCCTTGTTGTAGTGTTATCATCCACATTGTTACCACCAGTATCTGAATCCCAAAAATAATCATCATCGATTAATTCACGTTCATTGTGTAGATTTTGTACACTGGCCATAGCTTCAACTTCTGCATCAACTGGATCTTGTATTAAATTTGGATTCATATAGCCATCGGTTGACGAGTGATTTATGCCAGTGATTTTAGTTAGAAAACTATTATTATTATTACCATTACTATTATTATTATTACTATTATTCGAATGTTTATTTTGATTTGATAAACGTATATACGGTATAGGTCCATGTGTATGTAAACCGATAACAGATGTTGAAGACGATGATGAAGTATTCGTGGCTTTCATTTCAACTTGATCCCCATCAGCATCAGTGTCAAGTAGACGTGAACGACCAAAAGAACCACCAGTTTCTGGTGTATTACCAACTCCATAACGTAATCTCTGCCGACGACAATAACGAAAGAAGATAAAGACTACAGCTAAACTTAACAGCTCAAGTGTAACACCAAGTAATGGCCACCAAACAGACGACCAAACTGAAAAACAAAAGAAGAACAACAATATACATACTACTGAAAATATACTAAGTGGAATATTCAATTAGTAATATAAAATGCCAAACGTTTCTCAGCTAATTGAAAACAAAACACGTAGATCAGCGAAGAGTCTCTTTTCGGCGGCGAATTCATTTTCTTAGCTGTACAATCGCAAATATATATGTGTTATTTTGTATGTATAGATAGATATAGATATTCTAAGAGAAATTTCCATCCAAAATGGATACCCGATAAGATTCATCGACAAAAATATCAAACCAAGAATTCGGAGAAACGAAACTTTAATTGCGCCTAAAAGGAAGCTCTACATGAACTTGGATTTCAAGGGAGATTTAGCAAGCGATATTCTCAAGAGAAGGATCACATCACCTGTGAGAAGAACATTCTTCGCAGCAACGCTAAGAATAGTGTTCTTCAGTCGCCCACTGATCTGCAGAAGCCCCAAGGACAAGATTCCTCATCTGACCATTTCTGTGTGCATATATCAGTTCACCTGCTGCTGTGGAGCCAGGTACATCGGTCGTTCGACGCGCACTCTGTCCAAGAGGATTCAAGAACACTATCCAGCATGGTTACGAAAAGGCAATAGTGGTGCAAAAAGGAGTGCGATAATTGAACACCTAGTTAACACTGATCGTTCCATTTCAACAAACGCCTCCCTCAAAGTAATCTACAGAGTCAAGAATAACCTATCAAAGGCAATGCGGTTTTATTTTCTTTGTATCGCTGAAGCTCTGGCCATTCACATAGAAAAACTGGAGCTGTGCATACTAAAAAGGATTACTCAATCACTTCTACTGTCTTGGTAACAACCTTTATGAATTTGATTTGATTTTTTTGATTCTGATGACTTAATCTTGTTTCTTTGCCTGTTCTTTAATTGCTTATAATTTTTGTATTCATTTAGAACTCTTACGTAATTTCGTATTATCTACTTTGTTCCTATGTGCATCCTGAGTAAAACTCACTCATCAAACTATTCATATTATTACATAACTTCTTTTAACAACTGTTTGTGACAACTCATCACCTTTGATACTACCCTGATTTCATTAACACCTAATTTTCTTGACTAATTTTGTATTACGTAACTCCAATTACCAATCTTCACCTGTTTAGTTAAAATAACTATAACAAATTGTATTTTTCTTTGACAAACTTAATGTACGTATACATACAAAACAACACACATATATTTGTGATTGTACAGCTAAGAAGATGAATTCGCCGCCGAAAAGAGACTCTTCGCTGATCTGTGTTTTGTTTTCATTAATACCTGGATGGGGATTATACATGAATCTCAGCTAATTGTTCATTGCAGTCTGAACTAGTATACAGTAGTCACTTAAAGACAATACATCGTGTAATAAATTAGTGGATGGGTGACTAGCAGTGGAATCCAGGATACGCATTACATCCTATTCGGGACTTGTCATCTGGATGTACCTCACTGTATTTCCCAGTGAGTGATGGTGTTCCTACAGATACATCCAGCTAACCAGTTTCAAATACGACCAAATGCACATCTTGGATCCCACTGTTAGTCACCATCCATGCAACGAAGTATTATATTATTATTTCCTTTAATTCCTAGAGGAACATAGAGCTTCAGCTGCACGTCTCCATTGCGTTCGGTTCTCTGCCAACGTTTCCACCTGGCCCCAAGTCTGCTTATATGCTTTCATCGCCTCTTCACATGACCTCCTTCAAGTCACTCTTGGACGACCAACTTGCCGCTTCCCATTCTGTCGGGTTTCACCCGAGGGCTTCTCTAGTGATGTCACTCACTCGGAAGTTTGTTTTCTCACAGTATGACCAATCCACCTCCATTTCTTCCTGCATACTTCTTGCACAATTTGTTCCTGCTGGGTTGGTTCGTCCCAGAGATCCCTCACTATTGGTGATCTTTTCTGGCTGGCCATTTAATCTCGAGTAGTATTGAGCTAAGACAGTTGTTGATGAAGGTCTGTAGTTTGTTCGAAGTGGCCTTCGTGACGCGGCACCAAGTCTGTGATCCGTAAAGCAAGAAGCACTGACTTTACATTGGAGTTGAAAATCCGGATCTTGTTTTCATTTTCATGCTGAGCGCTGTTGATCACCACACAGACTTGAGAGAAATGAAAGCTTGCCTTGATTTCCCGATCCTTGCTTTGATATCCTCGTCAGTTCCGCCAGTGGTTAAAACGGTGCTTCCCACGTCAGTAGGTAAAGGAGGTTTCTCCTTTCAGATTTCTCCCATTTATACTGATTGTTGTCCGTTATTGTTCCTGTTGGCCAGAAATCTTCATCACCTCTGTTTTCTCGATGTTCATCTGAAGTCCTATGTTCTCTGGATGCTTCTTCTGACAACTTGTTGCTTTTCACTTCCAAATCTTCTAGTTTGTGGGAAATCAGACAGATATCATCATCGGCGAAGTCCAGATCCTCCAACAAATTACTTCAAGTTAAATAAATACACCACATCGAAGGATGTGTACAAGAGGCCGACATGTCAACCTGAAGCCAAGCATTTCGGTCCAGTCAATCAGTCAACAGGAAAGTCGAAAGTGAATTAAATTTCCGTAATGTCTGTTATTACAATTTGTGAATAAAATCAATTGAAAAAAAAGATTTCAGTTCACTCAGTCAAAATTACTGAAGACTACCTCTAAAGAAGTGAAAGTTTTAATTTGAACTCATCAAAGCGTTTATGTCTTCGTATAGATTTACAAGCAATAGAAACATATATGTGGTTACAGGATTTCATCATGAGCTGACATTAGTTAGAGAACCACTGGAAAACCTGGGAGTACTCGACAGTTGTTTCGTTCTAGTTTGGGACTCTTCATCAGTACGCACCCACCACCAGGGTTCGAACCCAGGACCTTCTGGTTACAAGGCTAGCGAGCTCGTAGACCATTAATCCACTGGGACCTGATCGAATGATCAGCTCATGAATTCTAACTTCTGCCAATTCACGACATAGCGCGACCACTAGCCAATGTCTTCGGTGAGTATTTGTCCTCACACCCAACCTGATGCACCCTACTGGTCACAACTTCTCACTAGAACCACAGGTAACTACCTACCTGAATAGGTCAAGTCACTAGTGAGCTCGCCTTGTAACCGGAAGGTCGTGGGTTCGAATCCCCGTGGGTGCGTACTGATGAAGAGTCCCAAACTAGGACGAAACAGCTGTCCAGTACTCCCAGGTTTTCCAATGGTTCTCTCTCTTTCTCCCATAAATATATATATATGGGATAAATTCATCGCTGCAACAAACTACTCGTTAATTGTATACTCTACATCAACAATGACGGATATTTTTGAAACATTGTCATCTACCTGGGCTGATTAATTTACTCAGTCTACATTTTTTTCTATTCAGAATACTTTTAACCACAAACGGATTGTTTTACTCAGTTGATAGTGGATAGCAGTGTGGAATCCAGATGGGGCATTTCGTCCCAAGTGGGACTCGTCATCTGAATACTCAGTGAAATATTGGTCATGTCGCCAACTAGGCCAATGCGCCACATTAACCATGAGAGTTGAAGAGTATTTACAGCAAAACTAATATGTCTTATATCTATCTATCTATCAATCGATAAGAAAGTCGAAGTAATAACTTCGACAATAGGCAAACTGTTTTTCTTTCTTTTATATTCAATAATCTAAATTTTCTATAGTCATCTGGTAAATAAGTAATAAGCGTGTAATAGAAAAATTTATACACCTAAGTCCCTTGATTAGTTTTTTGATGACAACAACAACAAGAAAACGAATATGTTGGCAGTATAAAAAAAGAGGTCAGATTTTACTTCACAGCTTATTTTTTTTCTTGACTAAAATTAACTGATATGTTGGTAAGTTATTCAATATGCATTAGAGAATAAATGTGTCCAAATACTAGTTCACTGATATTCCTATATATCATTTGATTGACTTAACAAGATGTCTTTTACAGTCGGTCACTTTTCTACAGCCATTAACTTGGAAAACATTATATGGGTATGGAACAGTAGTTTATTTGATTGGATGGAGGATTTCATCATGAGCGGACATCACTTAGAGAACCAATGGAAAACCTAGAAGTACTGCACACTTGTTTCGTCCTAGTTTTGGACTCTCCAGCTGTCCACACCCATCGCCAGGGTTCAAAACCAGGACATTCTGGTTACAAGGCGAGCTAGCTAGTAGACCATTGAGCCACTGGGACCCAATTCAATAGCCAGCCCAATAATTCTAACTTCTATCAATTCACGACATAGCGCGACCATTTCGCAATGTCTTCTTCGATGAGTTATTGCCTCACCTTCAACCTGCTGTATACTACTGGTCACGGCTTCTCACTTGAACCCCAGGTCACTGCCTGAATTTATTTCACTATCATGTAACAAAACTGTATCCTATAAATTAAAATAATTCCCATTAGACAAAATTAGGCAATCTTAACAGTATACGACATTTTAACCATAAAATGTTACTTGATAAGGTGTGGCTAAGAGTTAAACCTAGTATTCGAATCCTGTCCTAGTAAATAATCGTGTTCTCAAAGAGACTACTTTTTGACACAGACTATTGATAATGAAACTAGACTGATTTCATTTGAATAAGTGGATTGCTCAAATCATATTTAAACTTGGTTAGCTGTCTGAATGAACAAATGACCTTCAGTGATAAAGCATACCACTGTGTTGTGGACCCTATCCTGAATACAGTGATACAGGTGATCACTAACGGAATCCAAGTAGATAGACTTACAGCGAATGGAGAGGTAACTATGTCACTCAGGCAGTTGAACCGATCAGGATTAAACGCCTATGGAACTTTGACTTGGTAAGAGAATGATGCAATCTGGTTAGCGGTAGTATCTCAGTCCCTACGCCATGAGATGATACAGGAATGGCATCAATTAGCACATACACGGGTAACCAAGACAACCAACCTCTTCAGACAAGTGTGTACTGGCAGGGTATGAGAGACATTGCGAAATATGT